TTTCTATTGAGGCTGTGAAGGTTATAAGAATATCGAAAATGAGTTTATGAACACCAGAACTTCTGACTTAAATCTGCATAGTCGAAACATTGGATAAACCAGTGTGAGCTGCATTTAAACAGCTGGTTAGAAAACAGTTAGCAACCAGTTAGTCAACGTTTGGCAGGCAGCTACAAGTTATGAATTTAGCTATTACATTCTTCTGATATTTTGGAAGACAGAACACTTGTGCCCTATAGAGATCAGGAACTATTAATTCACTCTCTGAATGCTAAACGAGGAAGGTGTTTTTTATATATTTTATATAGCGAATTACCAGTAATGCAAGGCAATGAGCTACGTGCCTGCTGTTTTTTCTCTAACCAATGTACATGCCATACAGCAGTCCACAGTTTACTTTATAGGTCTAATGCACAGTAAAAACTGACGAAATAGTGTACATATATGGTGTACTTTTAAATACAACCAATAAGAGAACGCTTTTGCAACTTGACAAGATTTATTGGGTCACACATGGTTCATTGCGATGGTTATAATTCACAGGTTAATGAGACGATTGAGGGATTTTGACTTCATCTGAGAATGGCCTAAGTTTCAGGCTCTTACCCCACCCACCAGAGTTTTTTCCCATTTTCATGTTTGGAATAATAACCAATTAAACCAGTATACAACTGTCCTCAGTGGAACTGACTTCTGGTATCACTTTCTGCTGAGATGCTTAGATCGAAAAGCATGATGAGATAGTCCATATTAATCAACTTAAGAAACAAACGAAGAATCCGGCACCTACTTTCTGCATGTTAATAGTTGCATGCCGTCCACGTTACAGAGAAGCACAGTCTTCTGCACATATGTTGGAGTAAGATATGATAGAAATCAACCGCCATCTAGTTCTGTCTAGCAAGAATCATTCATAGTTGCCACACTACAATTGAAATGTTTTTATTCACTGGGCTTGGAACAGGAGATAGTATAAGTATATAGACAAATAAAAGCTTTCAAATTAAGACCTCTCCATGTCTTATGTTGTATTAACAGTAAAATATACCTTGAAACCTAATAACTGAATAATTAGGAAAGTACACAATTTACGTGAATTTTCTTAGAAGGACACTTGCTTTTAAGAAGTATTAAAAGTTTGTTTAAGCTACTTGTATTATATGGCTGAATTTTCTCTTTTCTCCTATTGTACTTATTCTGTAATATTAAGCGGTAAAGTACTTCTCATTTTTGTTGTATTCATAATGCCAATATATGTTTACAAAACACGTATGAAGGTTTATACGGAGTGGTTTTTAATTAAATCTCTATAACATTTCTTTAAGATGGCTAGGTATTCAAAGGTAAAAAGGAGTAAGTCTAGGGACTACCCTAATGACTGCTGAGATGACCAATTACGGTCGTCTATTTAATGAAACAAAAACTAACTTCCTAGACGAAATATTGATACCTGAGTGTTTATTTCAGCAGTCGTTCAGGTGGCTGTTAAAATCACTCATAGAAAGCACTCAATGTTTTAATGAATAGAATTTCAAGTTTCTAACTGTAACATGTTGCGTCATTGAGCTGTACGCATTATTAGCGTGCCACAATAGCTAATGTGCATAGAAATCATATTCACATGATATGCAAGATTCCACTTATTTTTCATTTTTCCATTTAATAAGCAAGCAATGTTGATTAATTTCGTAATGAGAATAATCTGCTTGGCAATAATTCAACCCATTAGTACACTAATTATTCAACCGGAGCCTACTATTATTAACGAGTGATTAATTATCAAGTTTGAAAATGTTTCTTCAAAGATTATTTTAAGGTTACGAGTTAATCCTCCTTTAGGAGGCTGTAATATATGGTAAAAATCTGGAATATCAATTAACCTATATATTTACATGTTTGCTCATTTCAATTATACTCAAAATTTATTTTCATCTATGCGTGAATGCATACTGATTGAAAGAGGACATTTTAATTTTATCTTCAACCCATTTATTCTTTTTGAAACTGTAAAAGAAGCTCCTTGTTTCAAAGATCTAAGATCCTTTGCTTGTGAAGTTGAATAAATGTATGGTTACTTTCTTATGTGGTTTGCTGTGGTTATCATCCGTGTTCTAAAAGTCTCTGCGTAGCATGTTTTACTATTTACGCTTATTCATGAAACCAGTTCCTGTCAGTTTTTTTAACAGTTCATATTGACTTTGGTTTAGATCTGCTGTTACTAGAGTCATTTTAGTCGGGTTTTTTTTCTACACAATCCAACAATATCACCTGAAATATTTCTTGTGGATTTCTTATTGAATTCATGATCATCATAATAGCAAGACGCAAAACCTCACTTCTTTCTCCTCTAAGATACTGTGTCCACTAGCTAATTTCTATTTTAACTATCTAATAATTATGTACCAAATTCGGGTAGTAATGCAGATGATGCATTTAACTACTCATGAACCCTGTGTGAATTTATTCACAATATGATGATGCTACATCAGACATTTCAACGATTGGAACGGTTGACAATACAGAATATATATGCATGTATATACATGCATATATAAATCAAGACAATGAAGATTACAACTCTAGGCTATCCCCTAGGTAAATATTTAAGTAGAACTGCCAATCTGACGGTAATAATAATAAACAAAAAGAAAATGCACTATGTACATTTCAAAAGCCACCTGAATGAGCAAATAATATTCTTTTCAATAACTTCTTCTGGTTCTACAGTTATATGTATACATTGGGAAGTTACACCTCAAAAATAATAAGATTTCGCTTATCAGCTAGTTAATAATGTTATAAAGCTGGAGAAGTCAATTTAGAAAAGTCTTGTGTGAACGTTTACGATAGGATCAACAGGTATTGGAATTCAATTTAAAGTATTTAGTTATGCAAATGACCATACGGCTTACGTAACATTATAAGGTTGTAGTTTTATAAAATACTAGCAGATTGTTTATGAGAGCTGTATGAAATAAACTAAGAAGGATAATTTAAGGAATAATAGCTTGATAGAGTGTTACTCATGTTGCGTGACAAAATTAGTCAAGAGAACTTACTAAAAATGTTTGGGATTACAAGGATGAAGGGTTTCCCGGAGTAAGATGTAAGTGAATTTATGCGTCCTAAATCTGGACGCGATAGCTGTAGAGAATACACTTGAACACATAATTCAGGTTGGTTAGTCCTGATTGCTACTGCTTCTGCAGTCTGTAAGATTCAGAGTTCGGTACCCTCTGACAAGTTAGTGGGAACCCAGTACAAGATGCAGAACGACTTATGTATATCCATCCTTTGATTCGTTTCAATCAAGTGTAGCAATATGGAGCTTCTAACGGTCTTTGCCACACCTTTACTTAACCACACTGGGACGTATTCACGATTATGGAGAGTTAAATTTCTACAGAAAAGGCCGACGTAATTTAAATCCATAAGAGCAGTGAAGCTGGCCAGTCTAAGCAACACATCTTTCAGTATCCATGTCACCTTTGGGAGTGTAGAAAACGTAATTTGTGGTTTATCAGCATTAGAAGTTCTCTGGATTGATCTGCGAAGTTTGTGGATTAATATGTCGCTGGGCGCTTCACCTATAATTTGTACTCGAATGTATAGCGGTTACCTGCTAGCCGTTGGCATATTCTCTCTTGTCATTTTTGCAATCATATTTATCTTTATGGATTTATTGGCATAGCATTTTCAATTCGTGTGTTGCACAACGTCGTCAGTTTCTCCTTACTTGTATCCTCTGAATAAACACCCTTTATTCTGTAACTTGCAGTCTTTATTAAATTTTTGCCTGTACTGAATAGGGATGGTGCTGAGAAAATCTGTGTATCGAACTGTCCACATAGTTTTCCCAAACAGATACCTCTTTCTCGATCCATCTTTTCGTCTTGACAGAAGAGTATCAAAAAAAGCTATTTTGCCTTCTTACTCCTCTTCACATGTAAACTTCATCTCTACGTGTACTACTTTGAATTTTCTAAGTGTTTCTGACCTATCCATATCATTTCCGCACAGAATGAAGGTATCAACCTTATATCGAGAGTAAAATGAAAATTCTCTTAAGGATCGTTGTCTAGTTTCGACGAAAAATGCTCCGCTTATATCAGGTGTAGTGGTTAGCCCATCGCTAGTCTATCCACCTTCCGGCATAGTCCACCATTAGATCTAAAGTAAATAAATATCGTGCATTTGAAGAATAATTCCTTGAGGACATCTGTTGGGATTCCAACATTGAAAGACTATTCTTCCAACTGCTCACCTGTATAAGTGATCGTCTCAACAAGAGGAACATTAGGAACTAGAGTTATTACATGCAGTGATACCATATTTTTATTCATAACGTAAGCATACTTAGTTCTCTCTATGAATTTATGCATTTCTTTCACATTGTATTACTAGCCGTTAGCGTAAACATTTGAGAATAGTGACCAGCCACTCCGCCAGAGCATAGTAGGGAGAATTGTTCATTTCAAATATTGGTCCTTATGGTACTCCTAGTTTGTGTATTACAGTCTTGGTAATTAAATGTCCGTGGGTTCCAACGCGTCATGCATGCCCGGGCATATGATATGTTGCTCTGACGATTTCTTCGGAAATTTAGATGACTCTATTTTACCATTTAGGTCTTTTTGAACGTTCGATTCCTGGAGTTTCATCTTATCGTTCAGTATTTCATCCATCTTACTTATGTAGTAGCATTTATCGAGAAGAATTACTTCTGTTACTTTATGAAGCGTAGTAATTAATATCTTTTCATCAGTCGTGTAGTATTATTTATAGATATAAATGAAATCTCAGTATTGTTGATACATAATTTCTCAATGTGCACCTATAAATGTAGAGTCTGAAGCAGAAATTATCGAGAAGAATATTCTTTGTTTAATCAAATGGTTCATGACTTATGATGGGAAATTTTTGACCATCCATAATAAGTAATAAAAGATCATTAGAAACCCTTATCAACAATAATTTGTCATTTTTTCTTTACCTTACAGAGGTACAATTCGAATACGGGTTGTAGATGATAATAACTATGAAAAGTCCGAATATTTCTACCTACAACTTGGCGAACCAATTCTTATCGACAAAGATGGTAAGTTTTCTATTTTTCCGCAGACATATTAAGTTTAAAAGAACAAATTAATGTTTAACAAGTAAATAAATCATGTTCCTAGGTAATCATATTCTGTTAAGCTGTCTTCATACAAGCCTTGCTTTTGAAAACAAATTTCTGTTTTACTTTATCTCAATGGATTTATTTATCAGTTACTTCTAGGTTACCCACTTGGTGTACTGTTAATTGAGCTGAGAGATAGAGCAGCTCAATAGATCTTACTTTTACTTCAGTCACCCAGATGTTTGACGTTTTACATGCTTGTTTATATATTACTGTACTCTTATGTGTACTCTAAGAACTGAATATTTCCTTGTAGTTAATGATATATGCTTCAATGAAACTTCTCCAATCATTTTTCATCAGGTTTACTGTCTAAGCATGTCAGATGAAATTATTCATTAAATGATGAATACAGCTTCCATTTATTGCAAAATAAATGGATTGCACGATTTCTTTATCAAATGGGGATAAAATCGACTAACTAGTTTACTTCTGTATGCATTATTTATTTATCAGTTTTTTGAATAAAATTATTCCAATATTAAACGTTAGGGTAAAACTTATTTATATATACATGTTGCTTTTGATTTAAATATGTAGGATTTGTCTAATACAACGATGCACTTTATTTTTGTTACCATCGAAATCTTTCTAAAACTGTCAAATGTTAATGACCTAAGTTCTGTACTTTCGATAATAGTGAAGGATAGTGGTTAGCAGTGGAATTCAAGAAGCACGTTTTGTTCTATCTAAGACTCATCAGCCGGATGTACCTGCCTCCTACTGAGAGATTTCGTTTCCATAAAGACTGGAAATCAAGATCGACCGCTTCAATCACCAGAGTATTATACAGCGGTAGTACAGTTTAGATATTATAGCTTGTAATGTGAACTAATCTAAACTATGCTCTACCCTTCTCATAAGCAGTGGCCACAGTGGCTATTTAATCTAACGGGTAACGCTCTGACATTTGAGGCGGTCGATCCTGTGTTCACACAGTTCATTGGGAAGCGAGTACATCCGGGTGAACAAGTCCTAAAACAAGACGAAAAGTGGATCCTGCAAAAAATTGTTATGCACTATCCATTGTCTTAATGGCATTGAGTATGGTAGACAATTGCAAGTTACAGCATTGTCCTCGGTGCTTTCGGTTTTCGGACAAAATTAATAGTGCCCACGTGTATTGAGTTACCTTTCTGAACATCCTTTACTCATTCAGCAAAGTGTGACACATAAGCGGAATCTAATATGATACTATTTATTATTATTTTATTGTTTGTCCATTTGGTTCCTATTGGAACGTACGACTTCAGTGGCACGTCTCCAGTGCACTCTGTTCTCTGCAAACTTTCGAATCTCGCTCAATGACAGCCCACAAGCTCTCATTTCTTCCTCATACGATCTCCTCCATGTCAACCTTAGACGCCCAACTCGTCGCTTCTCATCGGGGTTCCACTTGAGAACCTCGACTATTTCGTGATGTCCCCAGTCAGTCTTCTCAGTGTATGCCAAATCCATCTACACTTCCTTCTACATATTTGTTGAGCGATAGGTTCTTGGTTGGTTCGTTGCCAGGCCTCAGTTCCTTATTGCTCATCCTTTCTGGCCATCTGAGCTTCAGTAACGAGTGAGCGTAGGCGGTTGTTGATGAATATCTGTAGTTTGTTGAAAATACTTTTCGTAACGCGCCAAGTCTCTGAGCCATACAAAAGCACTGACTTGACTGAATCAGTGTTGAAAATCTGGATCTTGTTCATGCCTAATGCTGAATGCAGAAGATCTCCACACTGGTTTCAGGTTAATGAACGCCAGTCTTGCTGTCTTTCCGATCCTGGCTTTGACGTCTTCGTCTGTGCTGCCGCCTGTAGTTGTAAAAGTGCTGCCTAGGTAAGTGAAAGAGGGTACTTCCTTTAAGTTTCTCCCGTTGGTGGTGATTGGAGCCTGTTCTTGTTGTTGTTGATGGTTGGGTATCTTCATCACCTCTATCTTCTCTACGTTCACCTGAAGTCCCGTCTTTGCTACCCTACCTCGCCTCATCTGTCAACTTGTAAGTTTACGCCTGTAGATATTCGCGTGTGTGTGACATTAGACATAAGCCATCGGCAAAATCCAAAACTTCTAGGATATTTGCCCCGCTCCAGCATATCCTCCTCTTCTCGCTCCTCACTGTTTTTTGCATGATCCAGTTCACCACAATCAGGAATATCATGGATGATAGTAGGCAGCCTTGTATTACTCTGACCTGTTTTCCCATCAAAGGCGTCACTGAGATTTCCATTGTGAATCACTTGGCATGAGGCGCCTTCATATACTTGTTGAATGAGATTCATAATGGTTTGTGACACTAAAAGTGTAGTGTTGAAGCAACTGCCTGACAAATTACTTCTCAGTCGACGAGGTTGAAGGCCTTTTCAAAGTCGATAGAGTTGAGGTAGAGAGTTGACTTCCATTCTATTCTTTGTTCTATGATGATGCAAGGAGTGGCGTTGGAATTCCGTTCGCACATGATTTGTTTCTCCTGAATCCAGCCAACCTGTTCCGATGGTAATTTTGAATCCAGGGCATTGTTTAGTCTCTCCACTATAATGCAGCTTAATATTTTGCTTGAAGTCGACAGGAGCATGATTCCGTGCCAGTTCTTACAGCAGCTTAGGTCGCCTTTCTTTGGGAGTTTGGCAAGGTAGCCCTTCTTCCAATCAATGCGCATGCATCTTACCTTCCTTCCAGACTTTCTACAATAGTGGTGTGAGCATGTTCCACTGTTGTCTCTGCGTCTGTTTTCAGTGCTTCGGGTGGGATTCCATCTGGTCCTGCTGCTTTCCTCACTTCAGTAGCTTTATGGCGTTCAGGACTTTGACTTTCGTCGGAGGGCATGCGTTCACTTAAGTTCTGTGGCTGCAGGTGCTATTTTTGTCGAAGTGCAGGTGGTTGTCGACTCAAGAGTATTTTGAAGTGGTCAGTCCATCGTTTCCTTTGTTTCTTCTCCTTAGTAACAAGGCTTACTTCACTATCTTTCATTGGTTTCGTCTGCGTTGGTCTCTTCCCTACCAGATAGTGACCTGGTTATTTGATACAATGTTGTCAGGTGTCTGTCTCTCCTACCTGCAGCCTGTTCTGCTTCGCTTGCCAGTGTGTCGTGGAAGTGTCTTTTGTCTTTGCACGCACTCTTCTTCACTTCTTTCTCCAGTGTTTTACACATTGTACTCAGTTCCTCCTCTCTTTGGGCATTCTTGCACTGGTTCGTCTTCTTCTTCACCATCTTCCTCTCCCTCCTCCATCAGCTTCCATGTGTCTATCGAGATCCATTCCTTATCTTCTTTCTTCTTCCTTCCTAATAGGGTTATGCAGGTTTCTTACCATATAGCTTTCAAAGAGTTCCAGTGCTCATTCACATAGGTTTCTTCAGAGATGTTGCTCGATATCTCCCATTTTGTCTTGATGGCTGTTGTGAAGTTTTTCTTTATAGTTTTTTCCTTCAGTTTCTGGGTGTTGAACTTCAACTGTGGTCTATCATCAACAGCTTCTTTGAAGGCTCTCAACTTGATTTTGAGGGTAAACTCCTCGTACTAGATGGTGAAAGGTGTGAACCTACATCTACTCCCCTTCTTGATCTGATCTTGTGTCAAGTAGGCTGCGTCTCCACTTTCTTCACATGGCGATGAAGTCGATCTGATTTTTAGTGTAGTGTGTCCATCCGGTGAAGTCCATATCTCTCATTTTGTCGATATCCTTGTGTTTGTACACACTGCCTCCAATCACCAAATCGGTGAATGCGCAGAAATCTGCAAACAGTTCTGCGTTCTCATTCTTCTCACTGAGCGCTTTTTGACCCATGATTAGTTCTCTTCGTGTGTTGTCCACTCCCAGTTTGGCGTTCATGTCGCTCATTAGAATTTTGATGTCGCTAACTGGAGTCTTGTCTAGTACTGATTGCTGTTATCTATAGAATTCCTCTTTCTTCGTTTGATCTGTATTACTTGTAGGTGCGTAGCATTGTATGATTGTGACTTTCCTTTCTTGTGATTTGAATCTTGCTGTTATGATCCTGGAGGGAGATTGGTTCCCACAGCATGAGAGCCTACGACGCTCTTGGGGACATCATGATAGCCACCCTCTCAGTGTATTCGTGGTTGTAGTATGACTGGCCGGAGTAGATTATTGACTCTCCAGTTAAGTGTTTGGAGAGTCCACTTCCATTCCATCTGCTTTCACCAAATCCTAACACTTCAATGCGATACCTTCTCATCTCTTTTGCAATCTGAGTAGGTTCAAACATTGTGCGGACATTCCATGTCCCCACGTTTACTTTCGCTTTCACCGAGAGAAGACACATCAGCCAATTGGCTTTCCGAAGGCTTTCACCAACTGGCGTCATTTCATGTCTCCGATTCTAGCGAGGAATAATATTGTTTTTATTTTTTATATTTTGTTTGTGCTTTGAAGTTTGTTTGGCGGTTCGATTTGTTTTTCGGGGTAGGGTTGCTAGCCTTATGCCTAACCCTCCCTGTTTACCCGGGCTTAGAACCGGCTAGTAACTAGTAAACTAGTTAACGTTTCATCTAAAATATCATACTCAGCATAACGATCTTCATGTCAAATAATGGTACAGTATTTTCACCACTGAAAATGAGTAATATCAAAGTAGACAAAGGTACGTTGAGAATAAGTAATTTGAAAATATCGGTTAGTGGAAATACTAAAGCTTTGGAAGATGTCAACGAGTGAACACATCCGCGCCATTGTGAGCAATTTTCACCAGAACTCGTCAACCGCTGATCTCTTTTTTTTCTCGGGGACCCCAACAAGAGAGTCTACATCTTCCCGCAGAACTCATCGACTAGTGTCACGTCTTCTTCTGGGAATCTTGAACCCTCTTCTAACCTAATCTGACTTAACTCAGCATGGCACGTCGAGGTAGGTGGTGGCTCAGCATGTGTAGTACGTGCCCAGGCCATCTCAATTGACTAAGGTTAACA